AGACCGATTCCCTGATATTTAGACTGATGGCTCCACACAGGATGACCCTGTTCCTTTAAAGACTGCATTTCCCATAATACGTTGCAGAGCAAGAGGCCTCAGGGCAACTTCAGATCATCAGGAAGCTGCTGCAAACATTTATCCTTCAAAATAAAAGCAGCAGCTGTTTTATTAAAGTTTATGGTTTTATTGTGTAATTTATGTTTGGAAAGAAGGTTTGTCGAAGACAAACGTTGTTTAAGTTAATCAGGAAAGCTAACGCTGTTCAGAAAGCGCTGATGAATGAAGTTGCTAAAGATGGGAAGGAGGTGCTGGTTTAAGAGGAGCGATGGTTCATCAGGGAGACGCAGTCTGTGGTTCAGGAATGTTGCATTCAGAGGGTTGATGGAGAAGTTTAGATGCAGTCAGAGGGAGAAGCTGCAGAGGTTGGATCAGAAAGCAGATGATGTTGCACCCAGAGAGGAACTGTGGTAGAATATGAGGAAGTATAAGTGAAGCGATGTGTGAGCTAAGTTTCACTGACAGCTTAGAGAAACTTAAAAGTACAGGAGAGGGTGTTTTTTTTCCAGGTGGATCATCTCAATCAGTGGTCCCCCTAACTGTCAATCACTCTGGTGATATGTTTCCGTAAGGCCGTCCTTCGCCCTCGTCCTCATTTCCAATGACTGCTGGTGAGTCTGACACAGAGGAAAATAAGCTTGTATGATGCAAACAGGAACTGTTAAACAGAGCGTGCACGAGGAGAAATGGGCTTCTACAGTACAGTATTTCATTGTTTATCTTTTAACTATCTTTATTTCTTAATGCTGACAAAACAAACATAATGTTTTTTAAATCATAGGAAGGTGCCCCGACCCCTGCCAGTCGGAGGGGAATGTCATTGAGGTGGAACATGAATATAAATACCTTAGAATTAGAATTGATGACTCCCTCACCTTCAAACCTTTTATTGAGAAACTTGTGAAGAAATGAAAAGTTAAACTGGGTTTGTTCTTTCCTAATAAGACATGTTTTTCTTTTGGAGTAAAAAAAGCGGCTTGTCTCTGCCACGCTTCTTCCTGTCTTCAAATGTTGGACTCTGTTTCCCATGCTTCATTAAGGTTCATCACTGATGACATCACTGTCACCTGTCCTCTCAGGTGGGATGGCGTTCCCTCTCTACCAGAAGGCAGTGTCATTACGTTTATTTCCGAGGCCCTTCTTGGTTTACTGCCCTCTAACGTTTCTACCTTCCTTCCCCAGTAAAGCGCGGCTTCTTCTGCCTGAGATCCACCATCAGCTGCTGCTCTCTGCTGCTTTTGCCCGAACAGAACTGGGGGAGAAAACCTTTAGCTACGCAGCTCCTTCTGGGGGGAATATTTTACAAAGAAACTGGAAGTTGACCGAGTTTTTATCTTTATATGCTTTTAAGTTGAAAGTGAGAGAATTTGAAGCAGCCTCAATCATCTGTAATTGATATGTTTGATATGTTTTTTATGTACCTGTCATTTAATTTCATGTATCTCTGTTTATTATGTAATTATGTAAAAACTGAGCGAATGAAAAGTTCCAGAAAGGAATTGAGACCAGAGGGGAGGTTCATTCAGAGGAACAGGGACACCGGGCACTAGCAATGTAAGGGAACCTAAACCTGAGAGGGAACTTAAACCTGGTGGGGGAACCTAAACCTGAGAGGGAACCTAAACCTGAGAGGGAACTTAAACCTGGTGGGGGAACCTAA